ACCATCATGTACGGAGTTTACAATGGGATCAACCTGGATTATGGGTTTGGTCATTGGCAACAACTTATTCAAAGCCTCTCTTCTTCATCCCGACACTCTGAAGTTTCGTTGGCCCGATTCTGGATACTGATAACTAAATGGGCCATGGACAGATTCGATGTTCCCACTGCTGAAGGTGCATCGATGTCTTCTGTTGGTACTTTCCATACCAAGAAGATCATCGTCTCAGATGCATCAAAATTCTCCTTTATTGGCTCTATCCCGGAGTCAATGTATGGTGATGTGCCTTCGGATAGCAGGTTGATTCGGCAGCTCAAGGAGCTAAGGCCATCTGGTCCAAGGGATCTGACCCCGGATATGCTCAGGTCTATTCATGATGCAGATAAACCGGTGAGCAGGGGTAAAAAGGCAGAAAAAGGAAAGCAAGCCTCCAAAGCTTCAAAGGGACCTTCACCTAAAAAGAGGAAACAGCCGAAAGCCGCACCTTCCCCACCACCGAAGAAGAGGAAGACCCAACCGAAGCGAAAGCTTGTTATACCCTCTTCTTCGAGTGACTCTGAGGGTGAGAGTTCGGGTTCTGACGACTCTCAAGGGGATGCATCTCCTCAACGAGGCAATACACCACCTCGGTCCCCTACCCCAGAGATTGAACTACCCATTTCCCCAATTCCTTCCCCTCCACCAATTTTTACAACTACAACCGAATCACCACATGTAACCGAACCTCCTCAACCCAAAACCCACAGAACCGAAACTACTCATACTCAACCACCAACCGAAACTATACCTTCACCCACTCAACCTGCTCCTACCAAACCCTCAACACCCCCAACCTCTCCACCCTCTTCATCTCATGGAAATGCATCTGAGGGTGAACAACCTTATCTTGGGGGAGAAAACATGATCTTTGATTCGGTCTACTATAGTCCGTTTCAAGTTCAAAGTGACGAGGAGGATGATGCTCCAGTAACCAAGAAACATCTCAAACAGCTCAACGAGAAGATTGACCTACTTCTCGCCTCCTCGTCTAACCAACAGTCCACTTTGTCTGAAGCTGCCCTTCAGAAGATTGTTGATGCCTTCTCCAGGGCTCAACATGATTCAGCAGCCTCAGCAACTGCTGCAATTCAGGCATCTACCAGGGCATGTGAGGCAGCGACCGAAAAAGTCGATAAACTATTTTCTGATGCCTCTACCCTGCTGCAGTCCTTGCAGGAAAGTGCAGATGCCACAAAGGCATCTTTGGAACCAATTGTCCAACAATTGGTCAATTTTGTCTCATCGGAGTTGCCTTCGTTCGCAACTCTACGTCAAACCATACGCGACGACAACTCGGCATTTACTGCCTCCATTGATGCTCGCCTCGCCAAGCTACAAGAGATCTGGCAACCGAGCGTTCGTTAATGGACGATCTGGCATCAAAACAACTGCACTTGAGGTCAAGACAACACAACTCTCTCAATCCCAACAACAACTGGAAGATCTTCGATCTGAACGGGAGGTGGTCAAGACGTGTGTTTCGGATGTCCACGCTGTTATATCCAACATTCTGGAAGCACACGATCCCATCCTAAACTTTTCGGTGAGGCGTTCCCTTGCTGAAAAGCTCTCTCCAGCCATCGATCTTCTCAACAAAGTGAAGGCCTCCCAAGTTTTGTGTCCATTCCGAAACAAGGGGGAGATGAGAAGACAGGATCAAAACCACCTCCTTCCTCCAAAGCTACTCACACGACCGAACCATCTCCAACTGATCAAACTTTAGGTTCGGGTGTGAAGAACAAAGGCAAAAACATAGCTGAGGACGAAGATGAAGAAGGCGACAAGGAGACCATTGCTGACATTTTAAAACGAAAGAACAGTCGCAAGGTTGGTGAAGATGCCAGTCGTGTGGCGCGTGAGGCTGCCGAAGCCGAACGCAAACAAAAAGAAGCCCACGATCTCCTTGAGAGCCGAAAGACTCTCTTCCCTGCCTGGACCAGGGAACGCTTAATCAAAGAGGCCATTGAAACTCCCAGCATCTTATGGCTCGAGCCGGTTATATCGTTCGACTGCAGCAATTCTGTCGATTCGCAGTTCGATATGCCGCTGACTCGAAAGGCGTTCATCTTCCACGTCTTCTCTAACATCTTTGAAGTCCCTCACCCGAACGCTGAGCTTGACAGGGAGCTCATTGACTTCTATCTGGCGGCTGCTCGTCCACAATTCCTTACATGGAGCGCCCAGAAGATTGTCAACGTTCGGGTGCTAAAACCTTATACTGAGGGACGTTTTATAAACGTTCGTTCAAATTGATTCGGGGATCTGCAAAGACTGCTCATCTTATCTCCCTGGCAGATCTACCGAATCTAAATCCTCATGATTGGATCGTCCTGTATAATATCCTTTTGACTAATGAAGCTGAATATGGTCCCATTCTAGACCATGTCAAAAGGATGTTAATCTGCTACATCATGGAGGTTGCCCTAATGGATCAGGAGGTCGCCACAGTATTCAAGAAGAAACCCAAAATTGCTCCTGTGGGATCGGCCAGTGATCTCAATCAAATGCTATTGGGCAGGATCGACCCGAGACGCAACACAGTTATGTTCACTCGAGCGGAAGGACAGAAATGTCTCTTCGCTTTAGCTGACAAGCATCTTTACACCACAACCTGTTTGGAGCATGTGCTGTTCATTGTCAAACGGTGTAAAGAGAACTCGGCCGATGATGTCAAGTATTTTGAAGATATGATTAACTGGTACATCCGGTTTAGACAGACCATTCTTTCAATAACCAAATGTCTGTTTAGTACCGTGAAGAAGGTACCGGTTTCAGCTGCTGGCCCAAGTAATAAGTAAAGGTCTCGCTCCAAATTGATGCAAAGGGGGAGATTGTTGGGCTGAAGATCATTTTTGTTGATTGCGTCTTTTGGGCTCGCTTAGCCTAAAGCTTTTTGTGTACCGGTTTGGGCCTGTCCAACCGTGAACCTTTTATGTTTTGTATATATGTTTATGCTTGCATGCATATTAGGTTAAGGTTTTAGAGATCTGAGAATAGCGATACATCTAGACGACAACAGGTTTCTTTGATCGTTCTTGTAACCTTCCAATCCTCTACAGTTGATGTTCTTAATCGAGCTCTTCTGAGGATTTTGTTTAATCATTCGACACGTTTGATTCTATCTTGTCTCGTTCTTATTATTGTGTTTTATTGTCTTTGTTTACTTACTTGTTCAAGATCTAATCGATCTTCATAGATTAAAAGATTGTTTAATCTCATCAAAGGTATTTAAACACCTTGAAACATCTTTTTTTTTTTTTCAATTTCTACTAACTAAAACATGATTGAACATATATTTTTAATTTGCATAATCAACTAAAAAGAAGGCTTCATGCTATAACTATTGTATCTGCCACTTGCTTTCTATTTCCTGTAGCTATGTGGGACATGATTGTAGTAAGTTTAGCCATTTTCTGTTTGGGATTTTTTAAGCACCATTCTCTTTGGTGTAATATTAATATTTTATGTGGACAACATTGCAAAAGAAAGATATCCTAATTACTATTATTTATTTATTTATTTATATTTTATATAATATTAATAAATACATAAATAAATATCTTTCTAAAAAAGTTCCTTATGATGTTGGTTCATTCCAAGTTTCGTCCCTCTATTGGATGGGTTTACTTTTTGGCTGTTAGTTTTTTTTTTTCAAAAACGACCATTTTGCCCTTGGACCAAACCCAAAAAACAATTCAATATTTTCTTTATATTCATCAAATGCAAAATAAAAATATGTTACAAATCATACCTTGCATGGAGATTCCATAATAAATCTACCATCTTTTGAAACATAAGGTATTGTGCCTTATGAAAAGAATGTGACCTACAACAAATAGCTTCCAAAAATAAATATAAAATGTTTCCCAAACACAAATCTACAAATTTAAAATAAGCACACGAAAAGGGCTTAAACATAATATATTTTATATAATAAATAATTAAATAGTTAAATATTACCTTTGTTTATTGATTGAGTTGCTAATCTTTAGAGATAAATAATTATTTCAGCCTGATGTTGAAAAAGTAACTTTCCTGATTGAAGTCCAATATCTAAAATGAAAAGAGATAATAAAAAACGTTATTTGACTAAATTAAATATAATTTGTAAGAAAAAACTTGAAACACTTACTAAAACATCCTTTTGCATCATAACTTCCAACCCTAGTCCCCTGCTTTTAAAAATTTGATGAAAAAGAAGCAACTTGTAAATAAACTTAACATTTCTTTTAATCAATCTAATTTATTGTGTGACTTTGATATATATATATATATATATACACACACACACACACACACAATGATAAAACTTAACATTTCATTTACAGGTGAACAAGGGAATAAACTTAGATTGGTCGTCACAGTTGATAATAGCAATTGAAACAACAGGATTATGGTACTTTCATGAAGATTGCAGGGTGGGATAGATAGTTCACATAAACATGTAGCAGCCTAAAAACATTCCCTTAACCGAAGATTACGAACCTTTGGGTGACATCTAGATGGCCTAACAAAAGGGTAAAACAGGGAATTTAGATAGGTGATATCTGGAAATCATCCAAAAACATGATCCTCAACAATTGTCAAAAGTGAAACTCAAAACTTGATGAAGCAGAATGGTGGCTTGAGCTCTTATTTTGCAACTCTCTTGTCACATCTGGAAATCATCCCAACATCTATGGATTGGGATTCAACACTAAAATAATCAATCACCAAGAGATGCATGCAATACGAAGAGATGTTTTTTACACTCACAAAATGATCATCCATTCTCTCCATTGCTCTAATTGCTGCAATTTAATATCATTCCTATCCCAGCATCTATGGATCATCTATAGATAACAAGATAAAAAGTATGGGACAATATATAAACTTTTCTAATAGAATATATAACTTGGATCTTATGAAAGAAAACAACGAGAATAAAGAAAAACATGTAGTTTTGCTAGATGAGATTGCATTTAAGATACGAATTGATAATGTTGTCCCAATATATCTACAATAGCATCCTCCTCTGTGAGAGGACCTGAGCTAAAAAAACGAGCATCATTAGACAAGAAAATTACAAAAATAACCTTGTTCTAATTGAAAAGACAAACCTATCCTTTACAAGTGCTCGTGAAGCTCCACTGTTGTTACTAGCTCTATCACCGCCAACAGAAATCTACAAGCAGCCTCAAAAGCAACTTCTAGAGCCCTAAACTCAAATGGAAAGTAGTCAGGTGAAGTGTTACCAAACATGTCCCCTAAGGACCTATTTGAATTTCCCATTCGTCTGTTCAACTTTGCCCCTTCAGATTGCCACACCTCACCACCCCCTGCAGCTTCCAATCGTCTTTGTAATTCCACCATATATTATAACACATAGCTATCAAGATAATTCAAAAGCCGAACATCATCAGTTGTTCAACTATAGCCTTTTCTTTTCCAAGAATTGTTGAAGGATAAACAAATAATGGTATAATAAGTCTTTGATGCCAAATTTATCTAAGAAACATGTATTCATAACAAAAGAGCCAAATTTATCTAAGAAACATGTGAATTAAAATTGTTTGCTAGCTGCTACATAAGTCCCTGATGCCCACATAATGGGTATAATATGTGGGAAGTTATTTTCTTTGAAAAGAAGCCAAGAAAAGAAAAATACAATCCAAAATGTTGGAATCATTCTTAGAAGAGTTAGGGAAATTATGAACTTACATACTGGTTCAATAAAGGCAAAAAACCTCATTATGATACGATATAGCTGCCCTTGTACCTAAAATAACATCAAAATAAAAAGTTAGAAAGAAGGTAAAATGCATATCACAATCAATCTAAAGTCTAAACGCACATGTAGTTAGAGGGAAAGCCCTAAATTTTGAGTTAAGATAGAGAAGAATTAGTGGTGAAATGCATCACAACAGGCCTCATAAATGAAAGAAGCATACTGGTCATCATTATGCACATCTCTCATTACATCCAGTTGAGCCGCCAGTGAGAATCGCCGGCGTACGGAGTTGGAGGTACTGGTTGGGTGGTAGCTGGACCAGAATCTTCTCTATCTTCTCATCTCGGGGATGTCCCGCACCGAAGGACTCCCCAACTTCGATTCCTATTTTTTTTATTTCTCTCTCTCTCTCTCTCTCTCTCTCTCTCTCTCTCTCTCTCTCTCTTTCTCTCATACACACACACATACACTCGCCTGGAGGGAGTTTTCAATTTCACCTTTTATTTCCACCGGAGACGCCACCACAAGCCGATGCTTCCTTCAAACGCAAACATGGAAGATGCTTCTGGATATATTAATGGTGGTTGCAGTTTCTAGGGTTTGTAGAGAGAAGGGAGGGAGAAAATGAAGATCTTTGTCGGCTGGTAGCTCTGATTGACGAAGAGATCTCATTAGCGTAGTGGAGACGGGAGAAGCAGATTAGATAAGAGGGAGAAGGAGGGAGAGGTGAGAATTAATCAATTGTGAAGATGAAAAGTGGTTTTTCAAAATTTTAGGGACTATGTTTCCCCCGTCCACGGATCTACTAAACGCGTATTTCATTAAAATTATAAAGCGACACATATAGAGGACGCGCATTTAACATACAGCGCCCTCTGTGTTTTTAATTTTTTTTACATGAGACACTAATTTAACGGCACGCAATAATGTGTGACCTAAATCCTAAATTTTTTTGAATAGATGACACTTTTTTAATGTCACTCTCTTCTGCGTAACATAAAACAACGAGTGTCGTGGTTTGCGCGTCGTAAAAGGGTCTTTTTCTTGTAGTGCAAGTTCTTCGTACAATTTGTTTTTCAATTCATAATAAAATGCAGTTAATGCTCCCAGGTCAGTTTGGAGATCAGTTATCTGCTTTGACTTGGATTGGATGTTAGCTTCAAGATCTGACACTCGAATGTCGAGTTTTCCAATCAAGACATCTTTCTCAATGATTGTTTACTTTAGAACTCCAATCTCGATCTTGAGATCTGAATTGGATGGCTTCTCTCCCTCTGATTTGCCTTCCTCGATTCATATGTATTTACCAAGAGGAGGGAGACCTGTTGCTTCTTGTGCTGCCAAGGCCCTTCCAAGCCTCACAAAGGCGATGTCATGCGGAGGCCTTGGTGGGGAGGAACCTCTAGGAGCTGAAGAGCTTCCAGCTTCAAATACAGTGTTGGGTCCTTCTTGAGTCTGAATGATTGGCATAGAATTTTTTTTGTTGTGATTGCAGGCTGAATTGGTGAAGCCTTCCCGAATTAGTACCACCGGCAAGAGCGGCCATTGCACCCATCTTCTGTAGAGAGATTTCATCCGCTCTGGATTTCCTGCCCGAGATGCAGCTTACAAAGGTATGGGCTAGAAACCTCCAGTAAGGTGGTAACAAAATTTTTGATGGTTGGAGGAAAAACTCATTCATAACCCATTTTCTCGATGATTTCTTCAGTTTGAACCATATCAATCTCGGTCAGAAAACCCAGTTGGTCTTCAATCCTCAGAACTTCTCGGATAATCTGCTTTGCAATAGTATTTTTCCTTCCTTTAGCTTTTGCTTCAACAAGCATTGAGTCACCATCTCCTTTTCTCACCACAGCAGAATTCCAAAAATCTTCAATGTGACGTTGATAGATCATTGTATTTATAGTGAAAGTAGAAGCAAGACAATATTTCTTCAGACCATGCACCATTGACTTGAAATCACAATGGGCTGCTGGTGGATCAACCAAGAAGATAGCCAAATTGCGACTGTCTGCAAACTTGAGTTCAGCCATTCTTGATCTGCAATTAACTAAGCCAAGTGAGAAAAATAATTTATTTAGACAATTAAGAATGGGTATAGCTCAATTATCATTAAAATTAGACTTTTATTGGTGATTAAATGATAGAAATAAGGATTTATGTTCAGCAATATGGGTTTACGGTCAAAGAAGGTGTGTACGGTCGTAAACGGGTGTTTACGGCCGTAAACAGGTTTACGACCGTAAACCCTTCAACGGTCCATAAACACCGATCAGTTTGATTTCTAAGATTGCACCCTCGATTTATGGTTGTTTTTAGTTAAAATGGCATTTTGGTGATCGTCATAGTCATACCTGCAAGAATAAACAATCAATTTCGAGGAAAAACACGAATTATGAAGATCGATGAACAATAACAGTGAGAGGATTCAAGAGAGTTTACAGCCGCAAACTAGAACAGTGAGAGTAAAAGTTTGCAGCCGGTTATGGAGACTTTTATACCTGGACCCAAGAAACGATCCAATATCCATGGGCTGCAACCCAAGATGCTTTAAGTCCTAGCCCAATACATTAATTTATTTAAAAATAATACATATTAAGGACTTAAAAAAAATAAAATAAAACAAATTCTAGAACTTAAACTAAAATATTTTTAATTAATTTTTTAATTTTTGATTTTTAGCAAAATGAAAATAAATCAAGATAAAAAATAAAAATAATAATAAAATCAAATTAAAATGAATTAGAACGAATTTCACCTCAGTTAATGCTAATAATATTTTTGTGATATTGGGATCAAAGTTATTAGACAACCTTAATCTGTTTATCAGTACCTCCACTTTCATGTCTAGATTTGGTCGATCGCCAGTATTGTGGTTCACCTAAACACAAAAGACTGTGGCAATTTTTTTTTTCACACACTACAAATGACAAGGCATTGTGACACTACGTTTCTAACTAAAATTCCTAGGAACCATTTGTCTGACGACGACTAAGGATATTGTTGTCCACCTAAATTGAGCAGTGATATCTACAGAAAACCTATTTGAAGTTCAATTTTAGTTGTACTATAACATGTTTCCCATGTCCTGATATACCCAGATAATCAAGTACTTCCGAGATACTCCTTACTTTAGGAAAGCAGACTATTATTAAGATTAGATAGATTTAGACTGCATATGTTAAGTACCTAGGTCAGATATATTCCAATCACACAGAGGGGTTAACATATGACTAAGCAGAAGAAGAAAGGTTGAGAAACAGAATGATGTATATGTTGTGTACCAAGTCGGATGTATCTCAACCATGCAGAGGAGACATCATATGACTACTAGACAAGAAGAAATGCATAGAAAGGAGATGCAAAGAAATAGATTTGCATATGTTGCAGTCCAGGTCGGATATATTCCAATCACACGGAGGATGCAACATGTGATTAACAGTAAGAAAGAAAGAAAATAATTTTCTACATACCTACTTTATCGAAATTCCCCAGTCACCCTATCAATACCAGAACTAAGTATAATAGCATATTTACGTATTAAAATAAAGTATAAATCATATATACGTACACATATATATACATATGTATATATCATTAGAAAGGTATCGACGATGCGGTCATTATAAGACTAATGTTGAGTTCTTTCGACATTAGTTTAGTACAAATATCATTAAATCCATTTAAAATAGTATTATAGAGGGGTGTTTAGTTGTTTATATAACTAAAAGGTCATTAAGTAACTATGGAGGGTAGTTTTTGAAAATTCAATTGGTATAAATAAGAGCCTTTTGCTCTCATATATTTCTTGCACCATTCTCTTGATTCAAGAGTTGTGACGATCCGATATTTTGATTCTATGTAATGACTTAAAAAGCCAAGTATTGTAACCATTTTTGAGAATAATGAAATTAACTTTGAAAATAAAATGTACAAAAGTCTCTACTTGGTTACATACTATGTTAGATATCATTAAACCATGAGCTTACATAAAAAAAGAACATTCAAATCTAACTTCGTATGAGGAAGTTATGACTTTTCCAAGTTCGGTATAGCGGTAGACAGCTAAAAACTCGAAACAGAGATCGAGTGACTTTTGGCCGGAATGACCTAAATGAAAATCGAAGCTCTCAACAATGGTATTTCAACGGTAAAAAGTCTGGCAAAAACAGACATCAGATAAAGAAGTTATGGATTTCTAACGAACTTTTCTTACCCCGATCTTTTAAAAATAAATAATAAAAATAATTTCAAAATTTGTCGACGGAGTCTAAACGAAAGTTGTAGAGCGTAGTCTCACCTACGTGTGGATATAAAGAATGTCGAAAATGGAGTTCGTATGAATTTTACTAAATAATTAAAATATAAATTTACTAAATAATTAAAATATAAATTTAAATATAAAAAGTCTGGCAAAAATAGATATCAATTTTTGAATTTTACTAAATAATTAAAATATAAATTTAAATCAAAATTTCGGTATTATCCGAAGGGGGAGTCACCAGGCCAATCCAAGTTATGCCCGGCGTAACAGCGTACGCCCAGCGTACTCGAGGACTAGGCCTCGGAACGTCCACGTCGCCCCTATGCGAAGCCATGCCCTGTCCCATCTGAGGCAGTCGAGGATGCGGTCACGTATAAC